GCAAATTTTGTGATACATTTTCAAAGTACAAGTTAATTTTTATATTTCGTTGCTTTTATTCAAATGTACTTGTAATAAATAAAACACTAAGAAGTAAACTACATCCCATAAAAAGACAAAATTGCAATATAATTTTTTGAAAAAAACTTTTAATACATACTAGATAACATGTATGTTTCAAATCTATATTGTAGTATAGAGTATTAGTATAATCCCGGGAAATGTTTACTTCAGTAAAGATAAAAAATTAAGGAGTACAAAAAGTGCCCTGAAGAGTTAAAAAAGTTATTTATTTAAAACATGGATCGAAAGAACTGGTGAATTTCTAATGCGCATGTATACACTTATTGTAGAAAATTTTATGTGTAATCAGCGCTAGTTAAAAATGCAGTTCTTTGGCATGGTATTTCAGATCACGTAGTTCATTATGTTATTTTGTTCGGTGAATACATAAAATAATCAATGCAAGTTATTTTGCATTTTCCTTTCTCTTAGGCATTTAGGTTACCTTCTGCATTTAGGTTATTTAACAACTGCAAATATTCTCTCATTTTTTTAAAACATTGCATGTATTTTATGAAAGTGTGATAAAATGAAATGAAGTAGTAATCATAATAAAAATTTACTTTCTTGGAATGTATTGAGTAGCGACACTACAGGGATCCAGCGTATGCCAAAAACTGTAAAAAGTGGTGGCTAATTCTAAACAAATTGAAAGAGATAATGCTTGCGATAAAAACTTTTTTAACATATTTTTTTAGTATTAAATATATATATAACACGAATTTCCCCTTTCTAAACTAAAAGATGTACTTTTGAATTATTACTATGATTTCAAATGTATCCTTCATTACGATTTTGATTATTGGGTAATTCTAATTAATTTTTGTCTTTTTAATAGTTATCTTTACAATGGAAAGGATGTTTTTCTTCAAACTGATGGAATACCGCTAGGATCTAATTATTCATCTCTCTTAGCTAGCTTATTTTTGCATTATTATGAAAAAAATTATACTTTTAATATTAAATTTGTTTTTAGATTTATTGATAATTTAATTATCTTTAATTTTCAAGATTGTACTATTTTATTAAATAATACTTACCCCGATGAATTAATCTTGCTTCGTAATCATGATGATAATATTAATTTTAATTTTTTTGGATTTGGGTATTATAAAAGAAGAAAATATCTGCTTTGATGAAAGAAATGATTTTAATTTTAATATAAATTGACTAATTACTTGGAATTCTAATGTTTCTAGGAACATCTATTTAAATACCACTTTTTATGAAATGAATAGAATTAAAAGAATATGTTGTAATGCTCATTTAGCCAAAAAATAAATAGATAAACTCCTTCAAAATTTGATTAAAAAAAACAATGGTTACCCAACTAAAGTAACTAAATTCTAGATAAAATCATTGAGTTAATTGTATATTATTGTAAATAAATTAACTAAACAAATTTCTTTGTTAATTTATATAATTTCTACCATGTGCAAATCCATTTCGGGCAAATCCGAGATTGAAATTATGGGCAAAACAGGCAATGCATGTTTCGTTCTATTATCTATTTCCTATTTTTTTCTTAAATAAATGTTAATTTTCAAAAATTATTAATTGTCAACTTCTTTAAATTATCCAGTATAATATTACCTTGCGCACATCCATTTTCGGGCCCATCCTTGGTAACTAACAAATCAAACACACTTCAGTACTGCAGTGAAAACGCACTTTAATACAAAATCCCTCCATTTACGCTTTTACCTCAATTTGAGCTTTTTGTTTCATATTTTGCAATCTGGCAATCTTGTTTCGAAAATATTTTAAATCATTCCTGAAAAATTTCCTGTTCATGTAAGTTCATTTGAATTCGCTGCTCGCTTTATAGATTTCATTTCATGTTTTATTCTATTTTTCTTTATATTTTATTTTCTGCTTTTACGTGATATTTTTACTTATTGTGTTCTATTTTATTTGTTATAATTCTTTTGTAAAAGTTTTTTTTGAGTGCTTCTCACACTATTCTATTGATATATTTTGCTTTGGCTATTGATACAATATTAGAAAGCACTCCTTTTTGTTGATATAATCGTGTGAGCTGATGAAAAGATTATATCTTTTATTTTCTGGATTTTTATTAATTTTTTTTCCTTTTTTCGGATTTTTTCCCCAGTTTCTTGTTACTTTTATTATTATTTTTCTTGCCCCCCCCTNTATATATATATATATATATATATATACAACAATTATAAATACAATAAGAACTGCTGAATGGAATAAATTGTAAAGGTTCTCTTCAGTATGCATTCCTTTACGAAAAAGACATTTCGAAATAAAGAATGATTATCCTAATGATACAGTAAATTGTCTAATTTCAAATAATTAAATAATAGTAATAATAATTTAATGTAATTAAATAAATTAAATAATTAAAAATGAATTAAGCTTTAACAATTTTCACTTTTTTAAGCACGCGTGACACCCTTGCACTTAGGATTTTCATTTGGCATTTATAAGTTTAAAATAAATTTGGGATGCTACATGCATAAATATCTGCATGCGATATCTGTTTTTCGCTTTTGCACCTAATTGAGATTAATTCCATGGTACAAAAAAAAAAAAAAAAAAAAAAAAAAAAAAAAAAAAAAAAAAAAAAAAAAAAACACGAGAAAAAATTATAATTTTTTGTTATTAAAACATGATTAAACTAAACAACGATTTAACAATTTAGTGTTATAAAGCAGCTGTTCCCAAACTTTTCAATTTGTGGAAACCCTGGGTTCCGTTGTGGGATCAAGGACACAGATAGTTGGACTTCTTTTTTTAAAAAAAACTATAATGATTTTTGAAGCATGCAGTTTTATTTATATTAAGTCAATAATTCATAATCTATTCTTTCGGTTATTTATATGAAATTATTTAAGCTAAGTTTTTTTTTTGAAAAACATTTTTCCCAATAATTAATATATTGAGTAAAGTCATTTTTTCGGTTAGTTTATTCACAGTTGCCAATGAATTTTATTTAATAAAGTCAGGGCTTCGCAAAAAAATTCTCGACTATTTATATTTCAACAATCTAAAAACAATATTGGAAACTGTTATTACAGTGTTATAAACATTGAGTATCAAGGGTTTTTCCTTCATAGAAAGCATATATTAGGGCTCACAGGAAAAGAAATTAAACCAAATTGCAATGCAGGGTCCGAAATAAATTTTGCCCTAACTAAGGAACAACGAAAAAAGAAAATGAACAGTAACTGCTACACAGTATTGAAATATAAATGATTTTAATGGTATGTTTAATATTAGGCAAGAGCTACATGTTACCCAAAGCTACTTAAATTCCGATCGGATGAAATTAACACTTCGTAGCGACACGAAATTCCTAATGTTTTAGATTTCTGACGAATCTTACATCTACAGAGATTCCAGCGACAAGGTTCTCTATGGGCGAGCAGCTGTGGCTCGGGAGAGTCCGCCTTCCAATGAGGTGAACCGGGTTCGAATTCCACACCCGGCTCGCTCCGATCACAGTAAATTATCTTCAGTGGGAGATGAATCGTAGGTTAGAGTCCTCTTGCCATAAGGCTAACAGTGAGTTTTTGTGGTTTTCCACTCCTTGTAACGCAAATGCTGGTTAAGTTCACTGAAAAGTCCTCCACGAAGGTAAATTACTTCCAATACTTGATCTAGAAGTTCCCTTGTTTTTTCTGGACTTGTTTAAAAATGACAACACTACGAAGTTAACCAATGATAATCGTGAACCCAAAATTGAGTCTGCTCTTCAACGACGGTTATAAGGTCTTCAATCGAAACAACTGGGTTACGAGTAAAACAAAATTTTTAAATGATTTCAACAAAAGCTCAGACATGGCAAGTCTGGTGATCCAGCAGGTCATTAAACTGAAATCCCAACACTCTCTCACCTAACCGATCATTTCGGATCCTACTATTATCATTTTGTAATAAGAATTTCGTAAAAACGTGATATAAAATAGTAGTTTCGTTAAAGATCTTACATCTCTTGCAAGTACCCTGTGTAGCCATTCCATGAATAGAAATCTATCTATCTTTTTTATATATTGCAAGTTTTGAACTGTCTCTATATATTTTAATGCTCATTGCAATATTGCACAATTTATCAACCTAGTAAAGATCCTGAATGCAGGTTTAAAACCACAGGATGGCAGTTTTTAGAATTAAAGTTTTATTCTAAATTTATTAGGAAGTTAGTTCCCATTTTTTTTCATTGTGCTCATGTAATATATAGCATCAAAGGGAACAATTTTATACCAAAAATAAAATTAAAACGGACCATCCTGAATTACTTTAGATCTAATCATCGGATCTCTACGTTCCAGGTCTCAATCTTAATGGCTTGAGAGGGTTATCTCAATTATACTAATTAATTAGCTCAGACGATATATTAAGTTACGATATTAGACACAAAAACCTACTTTCCCTGAATAAGCAAGTCTTTTTTTCTCGATAGATTCTGATTTCTGACCCCCAAAATACAGAAGGTAGCCACAATCTAGGAAATATTGTCCCAATGTTTGGCCAGGATAGCATTTTTTTTAATACAATTATAAAATTCATTTTTTCAAAGATAATTCCACGTATAAAAATATATTTTAATAAATATTAAAAACTTTAGAATTGTAAGGTATATTATTTTTTACATCATTTTAAAGTATGTAATTTTACATGACGAAATCGGTGGCATGACAATTTGAGCGAAATCGGACGTATAATTTCTTAAAAAAACGAATTTTAGATATTCGACTTTCTTGCATTTTTACATATCGTACCACAACTTAAAACATCATCTGCCTTAATTAATTAGCATATTCGAGGTTGCCCCCTTGAAAAATTAAGATTGAGTCCTAGAACGTGAGGATCAGATCATTGCATCAAATGTTATTCAGGATGGTCCGTTTTTTTATTTAACGCCCTATGCATGTAGTAAAAATAATGACATTTCAATTTTTGTTTCAAATAATTTTTATTCGATTAGATATTACCTCATAGTGATACACATTGTTGACGATAAAATTTGATACAAAAGTGCTTCGATTGTTTTTTTTCTATTGTTCTACAGAAATATTTACAAATGTTGACATGTGAATTCTTATTTCAATATTCGAAGATTGATCTTTAAATGCAGGGGTTTTACACAGATACAATGTCATCTTCGAGGCTCTCAGAAGCAGTGGCCTCTCTCGGTCTTTCGCCGTTTCTGCTGTTTCGCCAATGCAAACCACGCTTGGGTACGGCGGCCTGACTCTCGTTCAATGACGTCATTTGTGTACAGGAGACCGGATGCATCATCATGCTGGATTGGCCTCGTCCATGGAGGCTACTACTCAGTTTGTACCGCTTGTAAGAGCGTTTCAACAAGTACAAAACCTGTAAAAACATTACAAATGCTTAAGATACATATTTTACTTTTCAGCAGTGGTCATTTAGTTTTTAGTTAGATAAAATACGCAGTATAGTTAATAAAGTTTAACCATAAGTGGAACAAAACATGCACTATTTTAAAAAAATTGGAAAAGTATTTTTTTTAAGTAATCAAAATAATACATAATTATGTAGTAACTCATGAATCTACTAACTCAAACTATGTTGCACTAAATATAAAACTCATACTCTCAGAAAAATTGGCTGGCGCAATGTCCTTTTGCGGACTTTGTGCCATTAAACCCTACATTCAATTCAATTCAATTCTCAGAAAGATTGGTTCAACATTGTTCTGTAATACCATGCAAAATCGCAATAACAATAAAAAGGTGCCGAACTGTACCATTTAACCACAGTGTGTAGTTAATTTTAAAAGGCATTAATTTGCTCGTTGATATGATTCAAGTTGGTATCGTATTAAAATTGTTGATAATCAGTACGATATGGTTCAACATGCTGCGAAATTTATAACAATGTCGATAGATACTGCGCATACAAAAATATCATATTTGGACAGTGGGTTGAGATGTTAGCAAAAGCAACATTTCAGATCAAAATCTTACTACTGATTCAGATATTTTAGCAAAAAGTAATGTTTTTATTTCACCCAAATAATTTCTAAAAAATTAGATAATTGAGCTACCTGATTTTGTCGTCCAAAAATAAATACTAGACAGAGTTGTAGCAATTCTGCAGTTTTCTGCAACGTAAACAGTATCTGGTGCAGAACATCTCTTATATTTTACACTTATGAAATTCTCTTTTTGAATCCAAGTGGTTGTTTTATTATGTGAGTTACTTGAATCCACAATTGAATAAGAACTTTTAAGTATTTCAATCTTTTTTATTTATATTAAGCACCTTTGTTTCAATTTCCAACAAGTTTCTCAGAATTTTAAATTTATGCAATAATAACTAACCGTACAATTAATAGATTTAAAACTAACTGCGCAATCGTCCAGATATAAGAAATTAGAAGCCGAAAGTACATAATCGTGCCATAAATCGAAAGTATAACTGTTTTAAAAGAAATAAAAAATTGTGTATCAGCATGATTCTATATTGATTTTTGAAAGAAATAAATCTAATAAAACTAAATACAAGTTTTTCTGATTCATGGTCATTGTTTTACTTTTAAATAATTATTTTTTACTGATATTAAATTCCATCGTATTACGTTTTTATAAAATTTGTAAAATGTGTAATAAAATCAAACTTTTGTTAGTCATTATTTAATAAATTATGAAAAATATATTTATTAGAATGACATCTACTTTTATAAATGAAAAATTTATTAAAAGCTGACAATTTTCTTAACTGGATGTGGAAATTAAGTTTGCTTTTATAATTAAAAATGTTTATATTGTAGGCTTTTAGATCTTATTTCAAAAACTTCAGACAAAGAAATTTTAATTAACTTTCTATTATGCTAATTTTCACATTTTAAGACATAATTAAGTCTCGGCAGATAATAATGAGCTTTCTAGAACGTAAATAATATGCCGAGGAAAGCTGGTATCCGTAGCAAACTTACTGATTTCAATTCTGAAATGTAGTTTTAAATTCTAAATTAGTAGTCCAATTAGTAGTCGCTTACATTACGGTAGGGGAAGATACATTTTAGTAGAAAATTAGCGGATTATATTATAATTTCATCTACTGTGTACTAGTTTGGAAATTAATATTACTAGTTCACAATTTTAGTTTCAAAATTTAGCAATTCTAAACTACTAGATTCAGATAAGTTTCAAAATGAATATATTCAACTGTTTTATATTTTAAAAAGCGTGCTTATTCCTTTAACAGTTTTGTTTATACAGCAAATTTCTATTTAAAAAGTTCGCTTAATTTTTTTGTTTATGGCACGAAGATTATCCCGGTTTGAATTTTGAAATAATTGTAAATAGATTGCATCTTCATTTTATTTAAATTGCATTTGTTACTAAACTTTTCATAATTTGTAGTTTTATTCTACTAGAATTTTTTAAAAAGCATTTTGAAAGTAAAGTTTTTATTTTAAAATACATGTATAATCTATCAGTGCTTGAAAAAATCATCCCTTTTCTTTATGACGTTGTGTTTGCGTAAGCTTAGTAATGATGTAAAAAGTATTTGTTTAAGTAAAAAAAAAATTACTGAATTAGAAAAATTGATACTTTCTATTGAGCCTGACTATCAATTTAATTTTAAACAATATAGCGAAGGCATATTTTATGAGCAATAATAACTATCGCTATTGTTAATTTAATTTTGATGAACAAGTATTTTTTTTGTTTCACAGACATAAATTTAAAAATATGAAATGATTGAGTCATCAGTTTATAGATTATTGAACAAAAGTAAACATCCTTAAAACTGATATACAATTTTGATTTAAATAGTATATATAAAATTATTACAGATATAAAGCTGTAATAGTTTCGATATAAATTTTGAAAATCGCCAAGTTGGCGAAACTTGCCCACCTCGAAGATAAATAAAATACTACTATCAATAAACTACTACTACAAATCAATAAAATCTTCAAACAATTCTCGATTATCGCATACTTTTATGAAAACAACAATATAGCATTGAAACAACTTTTCTAATACCAAGAAATTAATTCACAAACCTAACACCTCTCCATTTTCAGAAAACTACGGTTTTTCTTGATACTTACATTTTACTCATTACATTTTGCTTAAGGTTTTTCTTGATGCTTACATTTTGCTCAATTTTCGTAATCAAAATTTGATATATTCATAATGGGTTACGAATAAATATGGACAAAACCTAACAATCATAAATAATTGCAGTAAACGTCATAACATTTATATAAATTGACTCGTATTCGCTAAAAAGCATTTTTCGTAAAAGTCTTACAAAGAGTTCTTCTTCTAAATTTTTAAAAAAAAAATTAAAAAAAATAAAATCTGGAAAAATTATAGTAAGAAGTAACAGTACTCGGGATGCAGTACTTCTTACCGCAAAATTTTATATCGTATTTTTTTACGGTAATATTTGTTGAATTATAGTTCAGCAAATGTTGTTGATTAAGCAAATATTACTTAAAATTACGGTGTATCAGATTTTTTTTCCATAAAATTTAACGATAAAAAGTATTCCAATATTTTTTACCGTAATTTTTTCGGATTTTTTTTATAGTGTATATTTAGAATGATAAGGAAAAAACGGTAAACCATTTGCTCTTGACTTTAAATGAAGATGTTTTAATATTTTGATGAGATTAGACAGTATTGGTTACACTTGCGCAGAAATGATTTTAAGAAATGCATCTCATACTTATGCCATTCTTGAGATTAGCCGAAGTCTATTTAAAAGAAATCCTTTGTGGTCTTTCAAACTTTATTGTATGACTTAAAATACTTGAAAGAGTTCAGTAGAAATTGAAATTGAAGAATAATTATTTTAAAATAAATAAGAGCGCGTTAAAGCTGAGAAAATTGTGTTTTATTAAAGAAAAACTGTAAGCGAAATTAACATTTTTAAATATATAAACTATTGAAATCTGCGATGAAAAAGCAACTATCTTTTTTGCTACAATTTCATTGTTGCATTTTGCTTCAAAATTTTTTTTAATGTATCGAATTTCATTTCATTCCTTTTTAATACACAAATAATAAAAAGTGAATGTTTAAATTTTTTGATTCGGAAGATTATATTAATTAGAACAAAGACGCGTGTTTTTGATAATAGTTATTGGTGCTAAACGCACACATTCGATAAAATGTTAAAAAAAATTTTTTTACACTGATATGTATTAAGCTTTAATTTTTTTATAGATTATAAGGGGAGACGATGCAAGTTGAACCTAGAGGCACGGTTGTTGTATCCTATGAAATATTTTGTTTTTTGTTTTTCCCATTAATAAGTATATATATATATATAAA